AGCCATCGTATTCCGGCCGTGAAAGCCTTCGACAATACACTAATGTGTGTTGCTGATTTTATTTGTATTCATCTCACATGAACCTCCTGTCTCCTTCACCTCTTCTGATATCTTCTTTACTATTGACCTTTGACTGTTAGCCCCTTGGAGACCGGACCTTACGTGACTTTGAGGCTTGAACTCTGCAGACAATGGTGTCCTTTGGCGCTGAATAAATAGCAAATCACAACAGCAATAAAATCCAAATACAACATTCATTTTGTTCCCCTCCCTCCTCATCAAGACGACTGACTATTCAGTCTTTGAAGGAGATGCAGGCAATTTTTGTAGCACCTGGTCCATCCTTTCCAGAAGCCTGATTACTTTAAAGTAGTGGTACATAAAATAATAATTAAAACCCAGAATGAAACTTAAAACACTCAGGGTTACCAAGTTCAGGGCAAGCCACATCTTTTAGAGTTTAACTCAAATAAAGGCGCAATGGAGGGCCCCTCACCCATAATATTTGCAGCTCCCCAAAATTTATTTACATTTTTCAGTGACTGGAATCTTGGGGTGAGATTTCCAGAACTTTTCTAAATGTGGAATCTTGGAAAACTTGGGGGCCTTTTATTTTTCAGGGCTCTGTGGCTAAAGGCAAAATCTCCTGATAGATGTAGTTCTTCTGGGGATACCTAGCCTTGAAAAGCCTGTAGAGTTCAGTCCATGCAAAATTCTTCTGTCATCTGTTGATCAGCTGCTCTTCGTTGCATTTTGCAGTGGTGGAGGACCTCATCTTCCAGTTTGGGAGTTGTGGGGTTCATCTCTGAGGAGCCTGCTCAGGGATGTTTGGTCAGAGACATGATTCCATTTTCTATCAAAAAGGGGACAGTAATAAATCTCCCTTGAGCTAGCAACAGAATGCTTCAGGGATGAAGCCCAAATAAATTGTTTTTATGGCAGATATAAAAGAAGCTTTACGCTACAAAATTGAGCTATTGCAGAATCTAGAAATCCAGCCGTATTTGAACACCAGCACCAGAGTTTAAGTCCTGCATCTCTCTGTCCCACCCTTATGTGGTAACAGACTGTTTGCTGCTTGTTTCTTAGATGTGGAGAACAGGGACCCCCTGTCTAGATAATGGTCTGGTCTAGGCTCAGACTCTTCTGTTGTTGCTGGCTTCAGTTCTCCCACTTTCCTTGCAGGGCTTGTATGACAACTTCCTCAATATGAAGGTGAAGGATTCCAGCTTCGGCTCGATCTGCTTGGCCTTGGAGTGGCTCAGCTTCTCTGATCTGCTGAGCAAGGCAGTCCTGGTCAGCCAGAGCTTCCAGCTGATGAGATACTTGCCCTTCCTCCCAGTTTCTTTTCACTTGCTCTTTGCTGCTTCCAGTATTCCCAGACTGATCTATCCACACAGCCAACATGAGGTATGAACGGAGGGAAAACCGTCAGGGACTGGGCAGGGAAAAGAAACAGCTGAGTTTAGCATCAGTCATCTTCCTTTAGTGCATTCCCAGCTGATCATGAAGTGAAGAGCTGCCCTTCTGTTTTCTCTGCTTGGCTCTTGATCTACTGGTTTCCAAAGTTCATATGCCTTTTATGGAGATGAAGGGATAAAGTTTAGGGATAAAACCTGCATTTGCTTGCAGAAAGTCTCCAGTTTAGGTCTGAGAGGGAGACCTGCATAAAATTCCTAAGTGTGAGATCTACTGAGTAGACCAGGGGAAGAAACAAATAACACCAGAAATACTATAACTCTGTTTTATTATAACAAAAGAATCGTGAAGACCTGGCAGCATTTCTCCTTCCCTCTCTTTTATACCAAAGAGAGTCAGGGTGGGGCAATCTTGCGTTTTTTTCTCACACCTACCTGACTTCCTAGCGGAAGCAGGATGCAAGTAGTGCGTCCATCCTTGCTCTACTTGAGCTCTCCACGGTTTTTGATACCATCAACCATGGTATCCTTCTGGAGCAGCTACAGGGGTTGGAAGTGAGGGGCACTGTGCTGTCCTCGTTCACTTCCTTCCTCCGAGGCCATTTTCATCAGTGTTGGTTGGGAGCGAGAGGTCCAACCGGCAGTCCCTGCTTTGTGAGGTCCCGCAGGGGTCGGTCCTTTCTCCGCTCCTGTTTAACACTCACATGAAGCTGCTGAGTGAGATCATCCGTCGCCATGGGGTGAGACATCATCAGTATGCTGATGATACTCAATTATACATCTCCGTCCCAGGGGAAGTAAGTGATGTTGTGGGTGTTCTTTTGCGGTGCCTGGAGGCTGTGGGGGACTGGATGGGGAACAACAGGCTTCAGCTGAACCCTGGCAAGACAGAGTGGCTGCATGTTCAGGGCTCTCCCATATCTAGGGTCTTTGATTCTGGATGGGGTGGCACTGCTCCAGACAGACCCGATGCACAATCTGGGGGTTCTCCTGGACTCCCAACTCCTGCTCAAGGAGCAGGTGGCAGTTGTAACCAGGAGGGCCTTAGCAGTTGCGCCCAATCGTGGACCAGCGTGCCCTTCTCACAGTCACCCACACCCTAGTCACCTCCTGCTTGGACTACTGTAATGCGCTGTACATGGGGCTGCCCTTGAAGAGTATTCAGAAGCTTCAGTTGGTTCAAAATGTAGCGGCCCACATAGTTCTGCGCAAATCCAGATTTGCACATGTGTCTCCTCTTTTGTGGGAGCTGCACTGGTTGCCGACTTGCTTCTTTCAATTCAATTCAAGGTGCTGGTTATCACCTTTAAAGCCCTACATGGCTTGGGGCCTGGTGATTTGCAGAACCGCCTTGCCCCAGTTACATCTACCCGTCCCACCAGAGCAGGGAACCTGGGTATGTTGTGGGTCCCATCATCGAGGGAAGTACATCTGATGGGACCACGAAGAAGGGCCTTTTCTGTAGTGGCCCCCTCCCTGTGGAATGTTATTCCCTGAGAGATGATTGGCCCCCACCTTGATGTTGTTCCTGAAGGCCCTGAAGACGTTTTGCCAGTGGCCCTGGGGGCCCCAAGCTGAAAAGGAGCTAATCAGGTGGCGGTGCTGATTGTGTTTTTGGCCACCGCGGGGGGTGGGAGTTGATGGGGTTTTTGTATTGGGGATTTTACGCCCGGAGTCACTGTGTGTGAGTTGGGCGGCCACATAAATGTGTTAAATAAATAAGTTCATGGTTTCCCAACAGTTTCTGCGTATTTTCCCCAAGGCCACCTCTGTCCTCTTCTATAACTAAAGAGATCAATTGTCTGTAGAAGGCAGCTTCTTAGGGAGGCTTTGACAGCCAAACAAACCTTTCACAGCCTCTTGGAGAAATTGCAGTGTTGTGGTGAAATCTCTTTGGAACTTTGCCTGCTTGCAAATGTCGCCTGCTTTTTTCTCATTCAGGCCCTATCAAAACTGACCCAGATGCAGAACCTGGTAGATTCCATGATTTCTGGAATTGCACCCAACTCGCGTAGCCGTGCCGGACCTCAGTCTTTTACCCTCGAGGCCCTTTGTCTCCTCTTGGAGATTATCTCACCAAAGTTGAGACCGGTAAGGCAATCTCCCTGCAGGGGGTGGGGAGGGTTTTATCAGGTCAGGACTGGCTGAACAAGCAACATAGTGGCTGGAGAGAGAACAAGGCCAAATCCCTAGGTCAGCTACCAGATAGCCAGAGCTGCACCTCAGTATCTGCTTTGATCGCTTTTGTGTCCTGTAAGGCATGAACGAGAGCCAGTTTGGTATAGGGGTTAAGGCACCAGGCTAGAAACCGGGAGACCGTGAGTTGTAATCCCACCTTAGGCACGAAGCCAGCTGGGTGACCCTGGGCCAGTCCCTCTCTCTCAGCCCTAGGAATTGGCAATGGCAAACTACTTCTGAAATCTTGCCAAGAAAACTGCAGGGACTTGTCCAGGCAGTCGCCAGGAGTCAGCAATGGCTCAAAGGCACACACACACACCAAAAAAAGGCATGAATGAAAACAATTCTGCGGCCTGGCAAGCGATGATAAGCTATTCCAGCTGAAACAGGAAAGGAGAGCCTCTTGGAGAGAAAAGCAGTTTTGTGCCAGCCTGCCTTGCTTAAGACCTGTCCACAGATTTGCACTACTACAGCCCCCAGATAAAAATATTCCTGTGAATGGAAAATCATAACATCAGGAAATGATAGCAACATCATATTTTCTTGATATACTAGTCTCAGGAAAATGTTGTACAGTAATATATTCCCTCAAGTCTTCAAACAGAAGTTGAATGGTTATCTTCAGAGATGCTAGTAGGTCCTGCACTGTTGCTTCTGACACATGAGATTCTGCGAGTCTAAGTGAGCTCTGCCTGGCAGTCTGGCAGGATTAGCCTATTTCAACCACTAGGTTTATGTCCTGGTATAAGCCATGAGTTATTTAACTATGGTTTTTGAAGTCTGCATGTAATAAACCAAAACGGAACAACCCTGTCCGCCTTCTCCCATTTGGTGGTGTTTGAAAATGGCAGCTCTTTTAGGAGGGGTGATGCTATTCCTTCCCAGTTACACTAATTGCTGTCTGTGGGTGGGGCAAATAACATAATGCACCTCGTGACGCAAACGATGCAATTATTGATCATTGATGCCAATTACCTTGTGTCATTGCAACATGTGAGACATTCTGATGTCATTGTGGTGTCTACCAGATGCCCAGGGCTCCTGACATTCTGCCTGTGGGTATCAGTGTGCCCAGGAAGCTCTCTTGCTGTCTCCCAGGCCCTCAATTTGTTTCATTAATTAAAAATATTAATTGGGAAGCTCCAGTTAATGACCTGTGGATCATCTTTGATTCCTCCAGTTCCCCCAGTGATCCTTCTTCCTGCCCTACAAACTGAATGGAGTGACACACTCAGCCCTTGACCCGTTCAAGTCCACCCCCAGTTGTGGGTTGTTACAGGCCAGTCACTCACTTTTGATCCAGCCTTCCTCAGTGAGTCATTATTGCAGGGATGATATTGGAGGAACAAGGGTTAATTACACCTGGATTAACCCTAGTTGCTTCTAGTAATCAAAAGCATACAGAGTAGGGACTAGATCATTGAGGACTACATGAGTCCCCAGGTTAAGAACACCCAGTTTACAGGCAACCCGTAGTTAAGAACGGAGCCTATTGTAGCAAAATTCAAGTTAAATACACAGTGATTCAAGTTAAATACACAATGGTTCAAGTGCATTACAAACAGCTGTTATTGTAGCAAAATTCAAGTTAAATACACAGTGATTCAAGTTAAATACACAATGGTTCAAGTGCATTACCCAATGCTACTTATACAGTATTATAATTATAAAGTACAATAATACTGTTTCAGCTTACATACAAAGTCTTCTTAAGGACAGACCTTGGGAATGGAACTCGTTCTTAAACTGGGGATTACCTGTATAACATATGACAAATAATGCATGGCTGTGGAAACCAAGTGACTTGTATGTATGTGTGAATCAGGACATAGCACAGCATAGTGGATTGGGACCAGAGAGAGACCTGTTCCCACTCAGCTCACTAGGCACCTTTGGGCCTATCACTCTCAGCCCAGCCGATCTTGGAGAGTGATATAAAAAAAAAAACTGGAGGAGGGAAAGCCGTGAAAGCTTACATGCCTAGACAAATAATAATAATAATAATAATAATAATAATAATAATAATAATAATAATAATAATAATA